GTCATGGCAGCTATCCTGAAGTGACATGGTCCGGACACAGATGCAAGCAGCGGCTGTGCCACCTGCATCCTGGCAGCCTCGTGCCGTTAGGGCAAACCCGTGCCTGCGAGCACGTTCAAACTGTGTTTGGACGTTCGGGCACCAAGTCCTGCTACTCTCCGGCAACTGCACTGCACCCTAGCCCCTTCGTTTCGGGAGGTCGCTTCTGTCTTTGGGGAGTCTACGTTCAGCTGTTCCTGAGCATTGCCTCTACTTCGATTTGCATTGCTTGCGAGTTCCGCTTTCCAGTCTGCACCTATAAGTTCCAGCTCTTGCGACAGCCTCAGGCCCTCAGTACAATTGCAGCCCTAAACGCCCAGCCCTCTCACACGGAACGTTCTCTGAAGCAGGCCCCGACATCGGCAGCATTAACCGCGCCACAGCTCCCAGCCGACAGCCGTGCCCTACAAAACACGCATAGCGCCTTCCCGCGTGCTAGGCAGCCCTGGAAGCCCTCGAACTCAAACCCGAAGTTTTCGCCCCATGACAGAAACCCGAGATGTAAGACTTCAATGTCGGTCTGTCTCCGTCAGTCTTTTGCGACCATGTCGCAGCCATCCTTCTAGAAGAAACCATAAGCTGGTCGGGGAGCTCCCTGCAAGCACGAAAACAACCCCAGCCCAAACCTGCCCTCCACGACTGGCCAGGAGCTCCGCATGCGCAGCTGCTCCTCCGAGTCTCACTGACCAACGACCTGGTCCCGCCTGGCTGCAAAAGCAAATCCTCGTCGCGCCTGCACTTCGAGCTACACCCTCCAACCTAGAGCTTTCGTCACCTCCCCGCGGGTCTCAAGTTGTGGCGGTGGTGGTGGTGGCGGCGGCGGGGGTGGGGGTAGGGGTGGTTACTTGTTGTTCGTTGCCTGTTGCTTGGTTGTGATTGCTTTGTGTTTGTCGTTTTTGGTTGGTGGTTGTTGGTTGGTGGTTGTTGGTTGTTGGTTGTGGGCGATGTAGAATGCAGATGTCGTTGTCGATGTCGCCTCTGCGGTGGCTGCTGCTGCTGCTGCGGCTGCTGCTGCTTCGTGCTGAAGCTGCCGCTGCCACTGCTTCTGCTGCTCAGGATGTTGATGATGATGGTGTGATGATGATTTTTCTGTCGATGTTGTCATTGATTGTTGTCCTTTGCCACTGATGCCAATGTTGATGATGTCAATGATGTTGATGACATCTGTGTCATAGACCAATCAGTTGGCCTGGCCTCTCAAACCTGCTAGCACCCATGTTGACAGAGATGGGAATCTTGTCCAGACGTCTCCCCGATTCTCGCCTGGATAGTCTCTTTGCTGCACCCTCGTGTATCAGTGAGGCCTCGATTAGCATGTGTCTTGTCCAGTGCAGCAGCCCAAGCCGGTGAACAGTGAGGTGGAGAGCTTGGGCATCGTTTTCGTGACACTGCCTCCGCTGCCACCCCCTCCCTTGGTGGTCAAGCAGGCACGGGAGAACACCGAGAACGCCCATCCAACTGTTTTGTAAATTCGCGCCGCAGCTGCTATCATTCGGAGATAGAAGCATGTAGAAGGCGGTCTGGAGTCGATTAGGGCCGAGCTTCAATGTTCGGTCTTTGTCGGGCTTGGAACTGGTCCGGAGCAGGAAGGAACGATCCAAGCTATTTTCCTTGCACTGGGGTTGCGGCTAAGTACTCACGGGCCCCCCAAATATGACCGCCTGACCGTCTGACGTGCATGAACACTGGAGTTTTGCGATGGTTGCGTCTAAGTGGGATTGTACAAAGTATGAACTTGCGTCCGGGTCGGCCAGCAGGTGCACGAAGGCACGTGGGCGGCGACTGCGGGGATACGCGGTTGGAGAATGAGCAATGTTTCAGAGAGGGTTGGCAAGCACTCATCGGTACTCTCACGTAGCGATTCGGCTTGTAGTCTGTGCTGGTGTTGCATCGCGGCTTCCTGATGACTTTGCTCACCACTGCAGTTTTTGCAGACGGTCCCGCCCTATGGGCAAGCAGCCAAGGATCCAACCTGGTTGTGAGGTGGTCGAGCTTGGTGGCAGCATGGTCGGTACCATGACGCGAGAGCAGTTTCGAGCTGCCATCAACCAGAGGCTGTTGCGGATACGCTTCTTACCACCCAACGCCAAGGTGTGGCAACAGGTCGCGCAATTTCAGAAGCAGGTCGTTCGGCTTAGTTTTCAGAAGGTGCTTTTGCAGAAGGCGTTACGCGATGAACACGAGAACGTCAAAAAAGAACTTGGCATAGACGGCGATGCAGAGGCCAAACAGAAGGAGCGTGCCAGTCTAGCTCGTGAAGACATCGCCATTCAAAGGAAACAGTTGGAGCGACGGAAACAGGAGATAGCCAAGCAAGAAGCCGAACTGGAGACCAAGAACGAACAAGTCGCTGCTTTTGACCAGGAGACACAGGCGCGCAGGACAGCTTTGAAGGCTGACTCGCTGCACTTGGCCTCACAGAAAGCAGAGCTGGAGAGAGCTCGGCACGACTTCGATGCCATGCGCAAGGTCAAGCAGGAGGCTCTCGAAAAGGAGCGGCAGCTGCTTGCAGCCGAACGTGCAGAACTCGAGGCCAAGAGAGAGGAAGTGCTGGTGGCGCAGACCGACCGTGAGGACCTGGAAGCAGAATGGCAGCGCCTGCGCGACGAGCGCGAGGAGCTTACAGCCAAGCAGACCCAACTGGAATCGGCTGTTCAGAAGGCTCAGAGTGAGTGGGCCATCCTTGATGAAGAACGTTCGGCTCTAGCACGTTCGCGCGAGGAACTCGAAGACGATGTTCTGCATTTGTCGCAGGCAAAGGCAGAGCTGCAGGAACACCGAAGCCGCGATGTAGCACGCCATGAAGAAGTCGAAAAAGAGGCGTTGGCATTCAAGGAATCCTCGGACAGGACCAAAGCAGAGCTGCAAGCAGAGCGTTTACAAATGCAGGCGCAGAATCAGAAAGACAAGGAGGATTTCAAAGCCCAGTGCAAGCAGGCCCTGCAGCAGCTGGAGAGCAGAAAGCGACAACTCCTGCAGCTGCAAAAGCAACTGGCAGCCGAGAGGTCAGCTGCTGAACAGGCCCGAAAGGAGTTGGAAGACTCGCAGAAGGAGCACAAGGAGGAGGCGACTCAGACCGGGACCGTCATCGAAACTCTTGAAGCCTGTGCACAAGCCACTCCGGAGAGCACCGTTGCTGCCGTGCAGACCGAAAGAGATGAGGTAGCTTTCGGCGCTGTGACCCTGAACTCCGTGCCAAAGGAAGCACGGCAGCTGGCAGGTTCCGAGGGCACACGTGGAGTCGTCACTACGGAAGTCTTGATGGATGCCGACAGACTACGGGCCGTTGATCTAACGGCTCATGTCCACACCCTGCTTCAAGCCCGCAAGGTTGATGTGCATTGCATGCGGACTTTGAGCCAGCTGCTGCAGGGAATGGTCCGGTCGCCGCAGGAGGGTAGCGAGCTCCCCTCTGAGTCCGCCTCCACCAGCAAGATCAAGCAGATCAAGAGCGGCCTAGGGCAAGGAGCCCGCTTCAGAGGTCTGCGGCAGTCCGAGTCTCCTCGCACTCCCAAAGAGCCCCGCCGCCCTGTGGGACACCGGCAGCCAAGCCCGCGTCCAGCAAGCCCAAGTCCTCCATCAGAGCTTCCACGGTCACAAGGTCTTGCAAAGAAAGCTCTGGCCGAGACGGCGGATGTGCGAAAGTTGCTCGCAGAGGAGCTCAAGAAGGAGCGACTTGGCGTGAGCATGCGTGAGCTGCCTTTGTCTCTTCTCCACGCGCAGCCGCTGAGGTCGAAGCGCAGCCCTCCATCTCGCTCTGCGAGCCGCTCCAAACTGGAGCGACACATGCAAGCCCAGGCCCAGAAGTGAGGCCGTCCCGGCTCGTTGCGGCGTCAGCACGGTCGAATGCCAAACCATGACGGCGAACTCTCAGAAGAGAAAGTCTGTGCTAGTGAACCTGCCCCGGAATCCCTCGCCTTTGTACAAAGCTGGCTTATGCAGCTCGATGAATATGCCCACTACGAAGTAGTGTGGCAGCTGAAGGGGTCCGGGGCACGCTATCGCGACAGCCAGGGGAGGGTAGATGTCCTGTGCTCGAAAGGGTGCGGGGGTGCTCCAGTCTCCCCTGGCAGTTGTGATGGACTTATCCGTCAACTTGGCGTAAACAATGCTCGACGTCGACCGAGTTTCTGTTCATGGCCGGAGTCAGGGCGGTGGGGACGGGCCTTCGGGAGCCAAGGTATGGAATTCTGTCAGCCCAGCTCTTGCTGACGATCGTAGTGGCATATCCGTGCGCCACCATGAGTGACCAGCTCTTGGAGAAATACTCCTGGCTCCCTGCTTTGTGGATGCCCGAGCTGCTCTCTACCTTGTTTCAGCCCAAGGCCGGAACCCGTGTTCTGAAGCTCAGGTCTCTCTTCACCATGCTTGCTTTTGTTCTCGTGATAAGTTGCACCCCGGCTTGCAAAAGTGAAGGATGAAGGGAGGGCGAGAACGAGCAGTCTGCCCCAACTGCATCCACTACATGCACACAGCGTCACATACACATTCCGATAATCCTACCCAGCGTACCCAAAATCTCTGGCAATCAATTCACAAGAAGACCTCCCACTCAGGCCTGTGTCGGGTCTCGCAGAATCTCGCTCGTGTTGCATGGAGCTGTGTCTGGCACCACTGCACCGCCTCCAGACCCGAACAACAATTGCCGCTGTTCCTTTATTCACTCCTGGCATACCGCCTGCTTGCATCCTTTCCTTGCAAGTTTGGGAGACAGGCAGCTGTGCGAGATTGTTTTGAGGGTCGCAAAACCCTTAAACTTGCCTGGACAAACGAACACACCAATTGAGAGCAGGAAACAAGAGTCGTTGCCACTTTCGCCAAGGCTGCAGAGATACCATGCGAACTTTTCCCAAGACCCTCGGCTGAAGTAGCCAGCAGCAGGGTTTTTTTCCCAAGCACGAAAGCTGCCTCATTCTCAAGTTTGCGTGTTTGGCTCTCCCCCATCCAGTTTGCGATCGAGCCCCAAGAAGCCTCAAGCAGAATTGGAGCCCTTCAAACTTGTGGGTTTTTATGTGGTGGACTTCAGCAGTCGCGTTACCCCTCCGCCTTCTGAACACACTTCGACTGCATGGCCCTTCTCAGGTCTTAACAGCTGCTTAGAAATTAAAGTGATTCGTTGGCCATTCACATAGAACGTTTCTCCTGTCCCGACCACTGTAGTAGCTCCAGAACGCCCGACACCAGGAACTACATTTGTCTTGGAATCTGGACTGCTGCCACCGGGACCATGACCGGGCTGGCTTGTCGACAATATTCAGCCGCCTGGACGAGCTCGGTGTTTTGCCTTTGAAGTCTTCTGAAAGCCGAGAATCAGAAGAGCGTGGCTAGGTCGCTTGTTAGGTTCGAATTCGGGATTGAGCGTGTCGGCAAGTTGGCAGCGTTGAGGGGACTGCAGAGTGCAGCGGTCCGGGAACACAGTACGGGTTCTCGCCGTCTTGGTCGACCGCTTGCAATGCAAGCTGGGGGGTTGAAGTTTAGGCTGAGAACCACTGTAATAGAGGCATGCAAAGGTGCAAGGAATTAGCAGTTCGAAAGCGTCAGCGTCGGGCGATCTCTCTGGTTTTGCATGTGCAGAGGCTCCCATTATTCTCATTGCCATGATGATCACGGCAGCAGCTCGGCTCTGTTTGTGCCGACACTGACACCATGTGTCCAGATTCGTCAGGGATGTCAGATCTGTCAATCGTATCTGATCTGACACTCTCAGGTAGACTTCCTTCTTTTGACAGCGTATGCCTTCACCACGAAGACGGACTTCACTGGGTATGCACCATACCTGTGGACAGGGCTTTGTGTGCCCTGCTCTTCACTGCACTCCACAGAAAGCAAGCAATTGTGTCTTGTGCAATGTTATGCAATTACCCTCGTTGTGGCGGCAGGTTCTGACTCTCGTGAGCTGCGTCTTTCTCTTCTTGTCCATGCTGCATGGCTTTCTGCAGTTGATCCCTCGTGCCACTTCATGTCTACGTCGGTCATGTCACATATTCGTTGCCTTCTTGGAAAACTGTGGTGCGACTTATACAACATCAGCCAAGGTTCGGAAAAGTATGGCCTCTCGCGCAGATGGGCTACTGCACCCTCGTTCTGCTCATCTTCCAGTTCTACGTTATCTTTGATACACAGCTGATGCTAGGTCAGTGGGGCGGCCATGAACTGGAATTCAGCATTGATGACTACGCTTTCGCTGCCATGAGCCTTTATTTGGACATCATCAACCTCTTCCTAAATATCGTGCAAATCCTCGGTCTCCGGGATAACTGATCAAGGGCTACACATCTTGTCGAGCGGCGTGGTGAACGAGCACAGAGACGGATCTTTGTATCCGAATTCCCCCCGTGCAGCTTTCAGGATTTCAGAGGGACTTGTACAGAGATCATGGCTGCCTCAACAATAGACTCTTTATCGTGTGCGAGAAAAGCGCTGCGTGCCTGCGAGCGAGCCTTGTTTCACTGAGTCGTGCGGAGATGAGCTAGAGCAAGTGTGTCGAGTCGTGACGCTAACTTGAATTGATTTTCAGTCGGAGCAAGACGTCCGAATCAGACACCAGCGCGGCGACCTGCACAGATTGCATGCATCGCAGCAAGCCATGCAGACGTTTTGACAAACAAGGTGCTACTCGTAATGGAAAAAGACTTACATCATCGAGTTCTCTTAGAAAAACTTCGACCCACATTCATACATATCCATACTAGTAACTAGTATCAGCTTTCAGACGTATCATACACACCAAACATCCTTGTCCCATGGCATGGCGTCAGAAGAGGCGCAGTTATAGATATCATAGATTGTTGCAAGTCGTAGAGCCACAAACACTGCTCGAATCAATCACGGAGTGTGCTGCTTTGGACGGCTCAGGCCACATCCTCACGGTCAAGGCGACAGGGTTCGGGGGCACTGCCGTGAGAAGAATTCCCCACAACATAGTCAGTCCAACAAAAGAAGAATAGGCAGCCTTACGGGGCTCGATCAGGCATGAGACACGCCATGTCTTTGATGCTGCTTTAGTTCTCACCCAGGCCTCGCCCACTCTTGGCCTCTGTTGGTAGACTGGACGCATGCAAGTAGGTGCTCCAGCTGAACATTTCATCTAAGTATATCTTAACTTGGAACTGCAGCCCCTTCTTATGTAGCACCAGCAGCCAAGCGAGACGAGGCTTCCGTTTCCCGGTCGTCAAGAAGGAGGAGGAAGAACTGCTGAGGAGCTGTTGCAGTACATGTCGCTTTGCGCCTAGCAGGATTCAACGGCAGTTCGGAAGCAACGGGTGATCCATAGATTCCCCACTCGGGCTTGGTCGTCGGCGGTGCAGTTTGACTTTGTCTGTGACGCTTGCTAGGGTTTCGGGCAGCATCATCGAAGCTCCGTCTAGTTCAAACGTGAACTTCGCGAGAGCGCGACACGAAAGCCTTGCTTGAAGAATTCAGTCTAATCCATCGTCGTGAAGCAGCAGTGCAAAGACAAGCACCGGCACAGATCTTAGTGCACATGTGTTCGCACCTCCCAGTTCCGCAAACCTTTCGAAGCAACGACGCCGTGTGGGCTGAGTTGTTGCCTCAGCCTTTCTTCGCGTGCAGGGACCTGCCAGCAAAAGGTGGCTGGATATGGTCAAAACCAGAACTCATCGATGATGACACCAAGGCCAGCATCGTCAGATTCAGTGCTAGCTGCCAGGCCCGAAGTAGAATCCCAGCACCCAAGATCCACTTTAGCCCCGGAGCTCCGCCGAGGTGAAGCTGTCAAAACAAGACTACCACTAGTAACGAGTTGTCACTAATTCATGATTCTTGTCGCAGGCCAGCTGACTTCCGATATCGAGAGCATCCATATGTACTCACAACATGCGATTGCCTACGGTTACCCCCCACCTCTCTAAAGCCCATCGTGCAGTCGCTTTTGTTTCAAGGCGCCGCAGTCCCTGCCGTTTGGTGCCCCACTCTCCACCAAATGCGGATTTAAAGGCTGCCCTGCGCACTCTGGTATCTTAAACAAGTCATCCAAAATATGAGACATACTGTGTAAGTCACATCGTGCCAGTGTTTCCCCTGAACGCAGAAGAGCCTGCCCGATGAAAGCATTGTAAGGTGGCCAAGCGAGTTGCATGGCTGAACAAGTCAGGAACCAAGTTAAGAACAGCATCTAGCGAGGCTGCAGAATGTCGCTTCATGCTGTTGGACGCGAAGCAGCAAGCAAGTCCCTTCACTTCAAATTCTGGAAGTTAAGTCGGAGGTTGATTCTTTCGCACGCGAGGTATGGCTGTCTGACCAAGCCCATCGACTGGGCAGAGGCAGGGGGAACTGAGCCTGTTCCGAGTTCACCTGATGCCGAGGGCGACGGGTCCGTCACCACTTGAGCTTATGGACATGACGCAGGTGGCCGACCTGCTCGACAGCCTCAAGGACGGGCCTGCGATCGTCGTGGAGAGGGCAACTTGTTGTCCTTCACGGTCGAGCTTGGAGTGGCGGATGCTGATTGGGGGATGTTGACTCGCGGAAGGTGGCCCATGCCATGGTCCTCCTTAGGGAGCTGGAGATGAAGGGCAACAAGGTGGGAGCTGCATTGCAGAAATGTTTCTTAGGCTCCCTCGCTTCTTTCGGCCGGAGAGGAGCTAGGAAAGCCGGAAGGACACTTTTAGGATGCACGGCCATCTGCGATTCAGCTTCATTCAGCTTCAATGCCTACCCTCGGCCTGGAAACCATCCTGAGTTTAATAATGCTTCAACTTTGGAACTGCAATAGGTCCTAGCTGTCCTACCTGTTGAGTCTGGAGCAGGTAGCAGACCCAACTGGTTTCATCAAGAAGGCGGTGGAACAGGCTTCCCTCTGCTCCAGCTGCGCTGCAATGCTTGTCAAGGGAGTCCGATCCGTCAAATCGTTGAGTCTTCTCTCGGAAGCAAACTCTGTGTCTCCCCAGGCCGGTAGCTACCATGGCCGAGCCTTCCACTCTCAGACGCTAGTTAGGCAGCATCGTCTTCTTCCGCACCGTATGCAGAAAAAAAAGCAATCAGCACGCCGTCGAAAGTCAGCTGGCTGAGGAGACCAAGAAATCTCCACGATGCCAGAGGCGTTTGAAGGCTCAGAGTGCAGACCCTCCAGCAGACAGCTGACACAGACCTTCCCTGGTCTCTGACACAGCAGCCGACGCTTCGCCTCGACCTGTCCGTTAATTGCAGAGGCCGAACAGACAGTTCATGAAAGATCCGCCGTGCTGTCGAATCTGTACAATCATACGGGCCAAAGACCGATGTCGGCAGCCCATGCCCGGAAGCTTGCCACTTGACGTACCTCCGGCAGGGCTTGCTGGGCATGCTCCCACGCCCGAAGCAAGCCCAGCTTAGGTACGGCTTTTGGATATGTCATGATGTGAAGTGGCAGGCATGCTCTGCCAGGATCCTTTTTTTGGTTGTCGAGAGAGTCAAGACTCTGATTTGCTCCAGAGCAGACTGGAAGCGGTGCAGCAAGCCCCAGAGTTGCCAGGCCGGTGGAGATGAGGTCGACTTGGCGGGCGCGGTCGGCATCTTACTGCTTGGATGGGCAGCTTCCAGCCAAACTCGGGTTGCTTGCGCATCTGCCGGCGCTGGCAACGGCCGGATACAATCAGGGAAGCTACGGCTCATGATGGACAATGTGCCCTCTGATTATCAGAAGCCCGCAACTTCGCCAACATGCCGACCATGCCCTCCCCTCCAAGATCCGTTCTGCAGGCGAAGTCTCAATGCATGTCATGCAGCGACCGTAAGCTCACTCGAGACGGCAGAGCTGAATCTCACGTGATAGCTTTGTCAATCTGTTCGCTTAGTCAGAGGGGCGATCACTCGAAGTCCGCAGGTCGACAAGTGGATGATGCTTGTTGAGTTGATTGATATTTTGTTTAAATTTCGGCTGCATGAAGTCATTTCAGTGATGTGCTGTTATGCCCGTAAACATGTGCCGTGAAACTCGAACCATCATGCCAGCTGGGTCTGGAACTAGCATCTGCTTGCTGGCATGCAGACATTGAGAGCTTGCAGAGCACTGATGAAAGTGCCAGCCGAACGCATGCCGGGGCGATTTCGTGTGGCTCGACCTGTCACCGCACAGGAAGTTGTGAGTGACGTTTGTTCAAATGCCCTGTGTCGCAGCTGCATGAGCTGCGAGTAATCAGAGTCGCGCTCTTCATGCTGAGAAGACGTCGACCCCTCGGCGTCTTCCGAGGACTCAGGACAGTCAGCAGTGGCGGAGAGAATCGAAGAGTTGAACAGTGGAGGTACGCCTTGACCTCAGGACTCCACTCGGTCTGAACATAGACTTTCTTGGACATTCTTGGCTTCAAACGACCAGTTTACAGTTTCTGACTACTCTTCGCTCCTGATGACAAGGTTGTCGGCTCAGATTGATGCCACCTCCGTTGTGGACGGACTTGAAAGCTGGGAGCCAAGATCCCCTGTTGGGTGAGTCCAGGGTGTCACGCAAGAGACAGCAACAACATGGCAATGAAAGGATCAGGTTTGCCCGTCTCAGTGTGCAGACTGGTAGCCGGAAAGACCACAACCAGAGTTTAAATGGGAGCAAGAAGCAGATTCCCAATCGGCCGAGCATCTCAAGGACTTCCAGAAGAAGACGCGTTGGGACTGCTGCAAGAGGTTGCAGACAAAGGCACGCAGTGCTGCGACAGCTGGTTGCTACTGCTCTGCCGCTGCCGGGCAACTTCTGACTGCTCCTCTTCTCTGCTCTCGATCCTTGTGCCACTCTGCTCAGACGAGTCTTTCCTTCTGTGCTAGAAGCACTACGACGCCGATGACGACTGTTGCTACGACGACGACGGCGACGACATGCGACGACTAATACTGTACCACCCACTACAGCAGCGGCTCCTGCTGCTGCCGCTGCTGCTCCTCCTCTCTCTCTCTCTCGCGAGTGAGTGTGTGTGTGTGTGGGGTGTGTGTGTGTGTATTTGTGTAAGCCGTAGTACATGTATTGCGAATACTTACATCTATATAAGTTATGTGTGTGTGTGTATATATATATATGTGGCGTATACATCGGCTAGCTAGGTTGGTCGTTCGATGGCGCAATCGCGACTTAACGATCTGCCGTGGCCTTTTTGACTGAGGCCCAGGCGATCATCCTTGATTTTTTCCATGTAGATCGTCTCGAAGCCACCGCTGGTGGTTCTTCTTTCCCGGCAGCTCGCCCTGTACAAGAGTTCGGACTGCCTCGGCGCTAGGGTCCCACCGAAGGCGTTGGCCGTCAAGGACCGGAGGTCCGGTGGGCTCCCATGCAAGTTCGGCGCTGCCAACTGGAACAACCCCGTCGCTCGTGTTGATCGTTCGAAGATGTCGGTCTCCCTTGTGTTGAACGTGACAGGCCAGCACATGGGCAGGTCGAGCGAGAGATCTCTCGCTTGAAGGTGTTTGGCATCGAGCGAGTGCGAGAATCTCGGTCTGAGAAGAGCCCGACAGCCTGCACACACGAAAGCTGTCAAATGACACGGCCGTTTGTTGCCACGTGCACTGTCTTTCGAAACTATGCCGCATACTTGACTTGGCTGGCGATCGCAGTTTGCTCCAGCTGAGCCGGGTCGCTGTGATCGACCGCGCACCGTATGCCTCAGAGAAGTTCAGCCCGAAGTTGGCTCTGCGGCAGATGTTCGGCAAGGAAGCTCTGGGTCGCTCCGCAGCTGACAAACGTCTCCTCACGGTCGTTATGTTCGCCATGCTCTCCCAAGAGCCTCGAACCTGTCGGCAGTATGGAGCCGGCTCGCAGGCAGCCCAGGCCCTGCAGAATCAGTACGCTTCGGAGCTCGAATGGAGGAAGAGCTCAGAAAGACCCCCGACCTCTCGCGGGAGGACCACACGGGGTTGAGCGACCGGTTGGGGCGGGGCCGCCCCGATGTGAGCCGGTTCGCGCGGGTCCGCCCCACTGTGATCTTCATCCATGAGATTGCAAAGGAGCGCCATAAGAAGTTCGTCCAGGAATCGTCCCGTGCTACAAGCCCGTGGATATCCGTACCAGATCGGACGTGATCGTGTCCAAGTCGGGGCTCACTCGGAACGGAGGACTGTTGACGATCGCAAAAGCGGCTCCGCCAGAGCCTGTCACCGATGTGAAATGTTCCACCGACTCCACGCAGTGGGGCGCGGTTTTCACGCACTGCTGAAGTGTCTGCAGGAGCTCGAGCAGTTCGCCTCTGGTGCCCAGGGCCGCCATTGCTCATGGCGGCCGATCGGGCCATCCGCAAAAGGATTTATCGCCTATATGTCGGAGCGCAGCACTTCCGCGACCTTCACTCCCAGGATCACCAACCACAAGTATCTGCGGAAAGACGCTCGTGCCGGCTTCCGTCTCGAGGTTCAGCGGACCCGCCCAAGAATCCTTTTCAGCGCTTTCCTCGAAAACGACCAGGCAAAAGAAAGAAGAACAAGCGTGGGGAGAAGATGGCCGCCTTGCAACGAGGAGCTGCCCTAGAAGCTCAAGGAGGACAGCCGAACTCCGGATTGTGGTTGGAAGGTAGAGGGCGGTCGCCGCTGCCACCATTTCATTTCGCCAAGCTGGCGAGACTTACATGCGGCTTCAAGCATCTCGGCATGTGGTCTGCGGTGAGGCTCACCCGATGATTGCAAAACGACGGAAAACCCATTGTCGACTTCAGGTTATCTGAATCTCGGTCTGCGCGGGGGCCCTGTCTCTGATCAACTCGAGGCCTGGTTGGTTCATTGCTCCAATTTGCCGAAACTATCGATCGGGGCAAGGACGCGCTGTTGGATTAGGACATTGGTCAGCATAAGCTCCGGAGCGATGGCGTTGTGGCTTTCTCCATTCACAGGTCGTGCTCCTTGATGGAGCCGGATGTTGCTGATGCGTGAAATTCTTGATCACTCAGCTGCCTCGATCGGCAACTGGGCGATCGGACGGATGATGTAGCACCCTGGGATCTGCTCAGAGATTTCAAGCTGTGCGACCAACCCCACGTTGCGGTCGCGACAACATGTTGTGGCGCGGTCGTTCGCTTTCTCGGTGAGTGTTCTAACGTTAGCGGGAGCTAAGGAATGGTATCTATATGCATATCTCCTTTTACTGCAGGACCTCTTCGCTTCCTGACCTATGCAGCTGCAGCTGCTGCTTCCCATGCCCTTCCCTTGCGTGCTGTCCAACAACCGGAATGTAGCTGTGAATCTCCTGGTGAACGATGACTCACTGAACCGGTACGGAACACGGAACACAAAACACAAACGTAAACATCCAGATTGGAAAGCAATTACTTAGAATTTAGGCGGCGATGATTCATGATGATTCTGATCTGTGTTTGGTCAACCGATCCGCAAGCTGTTCCGTGCGAGACATGGAGGTCCATCAGTCAAAAATCCGACTGCACACATTCGCTTCAAGCTCAAGGCGATGCTCTCAGTGCTTCGAGTTCGCTGCCTTGCTTTTGTACGTTGTGCTTTATGCAGTCTGCCTGATTGTCGTTCTGCAAGAGCTTGCCTGTCCGACCTTGGGACTCAGTGTGGAATTAGTTTGTGCAGGGTAGCAGCGGTATCAGGCGCGCCTGGCAGTACTTGGTGTGTCCCTCGATGACGTCAGCGAGCACAGTAAAATCTTGAAGCGCCAGGGGCTTGTTGCCTTGTCGCATCAAGGGGCACCTTAGCAGTGTTTTTGAAGGCTGCCCTGCCCGCTGTGTTTGGGAGCTGGGTCTGAGTCTGTGTGCCTGATTTGAGCTCAAGACTTGCATTGATTTGCCCTTTTGACGTGGAGCCGTGGAAATGCAGCGTGGCATGCATGACAGGTGTGCTCCCTTGAAGTTAGCGACGACAAGCTTTGTTTAACGCAAGCGAGTCTCTGCGAGTTTTCTTGAAGCCTGAGGATTCGTGCGCACGTATGGTTGCTGGCGCTCGCAATGCCAGCTGCCGGACAGGATCCAGCGACCATAGCAACAGCCATGGCTGGAAGAGTCGCAGGGATCATGGCTGAGAAAGCAGAGCAGAAGATCGAGACTTGGAGAGGGGCAACACTACGGAATTGTTTTTTTAATAATCTATCAAACTTTACATTTTTCCTTCGAGAATGATGCAACATGCCATCAGACAGAGGAGAGCGCGATAGAGCACCCTGAACAGCCTCCACAATGCGTCGGCGAAAGCTGTTGCTTGAGCTCCACCTGCATGAATCTGCCAGGTTCCTCGGCAAAGGACAGTTTCATAAATATCGTCCCGAATAATTCCTTCACCCATCGCATCAATCTTCTTCGTCGGCCTTCCGTGAGTCTCTTCCGCCATGTGATGCACCACGTGGGATCTTCAGAGCTCTAGAGAGCAGCAGGGGCAACGTCTGGTTTACAGGGAGTCTTTTGATGTCTTTTGTGACTGTAGAGTTCAGAACCGCCGCGGCGTTTGAGTGTGGCTTGCATGTGCAACTGCAGGCCCCAAGCAGTGTCCACTTGCTCCCATGCCAGTCATCACGTCGCAGAAGTTTCCGCCCAGGTATGGGCTGTAAAGCATCGCGGGGGCGTACCCAGTGCGTGGGATCCAGCGCCATCGCCATGAAGGAAGGCCGAGAGCTTCACCGGTGCTGCAACTTTCTTGTAGGTTGTTGCTGCAAGCAAGGCACTTGGACCATGCCTGTGGTGGGCACTTGACCCCAATCAAACCTGGAACGGGCCAGGCGTGTGCCAATGCCTCGAAGGCCCGTGCAGCAACGAAGGCATTTGCGTGGAAACGCCGCCTGCCTGTGCTTATGATCTGCTTATGTCGCTGAAGCCAGCTGTAGATACGGCTAGCTTTTCTGCATGTGCTAAGGCTTCCTGCAGACCAGAGGCCAAAGGACCAGACGTTCAGACCGGCAGCGCAGGGGCCGACCCCGCACCAACAAGTCCTGACAGACCCGCCCGTGGCTGCATGCCGTCTCAAGGGCCAGCAGGATTTTTGTTGTCTACTTCAGGCCTCAGCCAGCTGCAACCGTTTGTGTGTCTTAAGTCTTAAGTCCTTGGGGGCAGTCCCGGAAGACAAATCTTCGCGACTTTTGTTGTACTGCTTTGCGCGTCCCAGGGTTCTTCCCACCCGCCATCCGGGGGTGGCATCCCTGTCATTCCCATCGCGATCGGCCTCATATTAGCAAACGTCCTAATCTGGGGACGCTTGGCAGAGTTTCAGCGCTCACGAAGAATGAAGAGTGTACGGTCCTGACATTCTCCTGAGATCTCCTGAGGTGTGGGGAGTGGGAAGTGGGGTTGTTAGTCATCAATCGGGACTTGAGGATCTCGCTGCTTCCAGCTAGCGGCTCTTTCTGGGGTGGGTCGACATGTCGGTCATGGGTACGAGCACCTGGAGTAGAGCCCAAGACATCCCTTCATGTTTGCGTTATGTAAGGGCTTTGTATATCAACCAGTGCCAGAAGGACGAGTTCACAGAATCACGGAACCCCTTTGCGAGTGTGCAGAGACTTTTTGTGTGTAATTAGCTTTGCTCCGCCCAACCACTCTCGAGGAAGCATCTGGTTCATTCAGAAGAGACGGACTGGCTACACGGCCTATTCCAGCGACGATGAAGAAACCCCCGTCATGCAAAAGTCGAACAATCGGCGAGCCTTGCCACTAACCTGGAGGGCCCTCTGACTTATGTAGGCATTCGTCGTCGCTGTTGTGTGCAGCCGTGCCGAGGCTTCCAAGGGCCTGGTCATTAAGAATCTGAACAGAGCGGCGTCCTCCGACGGTCCTACGGGCCCCTGCAGTGCTCTCTGGAATTTCTTTCACAAAGGCTCTACTGGGCTTCTTGACAATTCCTTGGAGCACGGCTGGGAGTCTGGGAGCAGCGCCGGAGACTCGCGTCTCACCCTGCAGACACCTGCAGAATTCAATGGAAAATGTCTTGAACCTCTCCCGCTCCCCACTTCAGGGAAGGCTACGTTGCGCGTATTAGATGTGCGGCGAGGGGTTTCAGCTCCGTGCAAGGCTTCAGGGAGCTGCTTTCGGAAGCCCTTGTTTCGACAAAGCTTCTTACCTTACGACTGTACGACAGACAAAGGATAGACTCAAAATAAACTTGTTTCGTGCCTGCTGCGTCATTTAAACCCACTTAAGGAACCTTTACCCGTTTACCAGTGCGCCCCACGGGCTCTCAAACGAGCAGGGCCATCGCGTGCGCTCAGACATCCACAGCACAAAAAGAGAAGGGGCTCGTCGATTGGCACTGAGATTCGCGGATTCGCGGACTAGCGGTGACGAGCGACCTTCTTTTAAGGCTTTTCCGTGGCAAGTCCAAGGCGTGGAGTGGCTGAACGACTACGGGGGCCTCCTTGAGGCCGCTTCGAACAGGGCGGAGCAGCATAAGCGCCAGAGGGAAACTGCAGGCAAGGCTTCACCACAGCTGAAAGGGACTTGGACCATGCAGGACATCGAGTACAACAAAGTAGCCTCTGCCCTGGAGAGTGCTTGGGCCCCGATTGATCTCGCAGCGGTTCGCCTCCACATGGCGTTCTTGAGTGGACGTGCGGCCACAGGTGCCCAGTTGATATAATTATAGCAGGGCGTTGTTGCCAACACGAGGTTGGAACGGATGCCGCTATGACGATACTCAAGCAGCTGGAGGATCAGAGTACAGGTGGGGCCGGGGACGGCCTTCAAGCCAATGATGACAGGAACCGAAGCAATCCAAAGGCCTGAGGCGAATCCAACTCATGACATGTGCAGGTATCGACAACCCAACCGACTTCATCCTACGTTCAACCCGGCAGACGAACTCCCGTGCAGGCCGGGAATTGCAGCCATCAGGACTACAAAGATGTTTGGCCAACGGTGCATCCCATCTCATCCTCCCTGCCTAGGAAGCGGCAACAGCAAACCGACGAAAGCTACCCGCAGAGATGCTCCGGTGGCCGAGGCGCCCTGCTGTCGAGCCCTTGCCATGTCAATGTGCCCTGTCTCGCGAGGCGGCGAGCGCACGAGAGAGCACCGAGCCGGTCACACCACTCCAGGCAGCATGCGGCAGCCAAGAAGACGAACGCAGGGCTTGGAGCGCAGTTGAGGATGCTCGACTTAATGACAAACCCAACTGACTGAAGCTGAACTCTACGCTGGACTGCCGAAGGCTCCATGGTAAATCCGGCGGTAGAAAATGTCATGGCAGGCACTCAACGACTTCATGAGCTTCCTGAACAAAGGCGGTCAATGCTCCATCGACCTGTCTTGGCATCGTCTAGCTCTGATGCCCGTGCAGTTTCTCTGACTTATTGACTGGCACTGGTGCGGCATTTTGCTGTCCGGTTGTTGCATGTGTGCCACAGATTACTCCACAAAGCGCCACCGCAGCTCTTGAAGTCTCTTATGAAACGCCATGCAGTCAAGAGCTCCAGCCGCAGGTCCAGGCAAGCGACAGGACGTCAAGCTTGCTGAGGCTCGCAGCTGAGGGCCAGCTTTGCTCCTTGATACTCCAATTGGTTAGCCTTGGTTCAAGCAGAGATAGAAGTTGGAGTTTGTTTTAAATTTATTGTGGCAATACCTCAGACATAGCTTTTTTGGATCTGGTGATCTTTTGAATGCTACCCCACATCACATTGCTTCACGAGCATGTGGTACCTAGACTTTGCCAGGTGGCTGGTGCTTTGGAAGCCTTGGGAACGAAGAGAGCATGAATCTCATGTCGCCAGATCGTGCCGTCGTTGTTGTTTTGTGCTTTGCCATATTGCAAAGGGGCTTGTTATGGCAGCAGCTAAGGCCGCGCGAATCCTGCGCGAAATGCGTGAAAAGGGATTGGGTCACAAGCCAAGCAAATTCCTGCTGGCATGCTTTCGTGCATCAGCAAAGTCGCATTCACAGTGCAGGTCTTGATGATCCCGTGAGCTACATCAAGGCAGAATTGCTTGACCGCTTCATGAAGTGAGGGTAGGCGTCGGTCGAATCCCTTCTTGAGTTTACGAAATCAGTTTGGTGAATGCGATTGCAAATTGCTGTCGTCTGAGCTTATGCAGCACTGGTGGATGGCACCGCTGTTGTCTTATTACGGCTTGCCTGTGGCCCACATGTCAAACAGTTGCAGTACCGTTTTTTTCCGGTAAAGGCTGCGGCGCAGCGACACGGCTTTACAGTCGGAGTCCAGGACTGAAGGAGCATTTTTGCCAGAGTGGGGTCGTTTTAGAGCAGAGACCGATGTTAGTGGAGGATGACTCCGTGGAATCGTGACAGTCAATGATCAGGTCAAAGCGGAAACTGCTGAGCCTGAGACTGCAGAAGACGTGGACGACGTCTCTAGACTCACATCTCGCTGCAAGTGGTCGCTTGGCGAGATGTTTGGATAGCATTTGAAGCATCCTTGTGCCTTGTTGCTAACCCAAGCTCGGTATCCTGCTCCGAGGGACCTGCATGTAGACCCGTCCTGGGGTGTCCAGAATCTGACAGCAAATCTCCCTCGGCCCCCCCCCCCCCCACGGCCGTGGCGATCGGTGAGATGGTGCCTGAATGGGCAGACAATGTTGTTCAAAGCCAACGATTATGGGAGCAGCTGCAGATACATGATTGTTGCCAAAGGCTGAACCAGTTTGCTGGCCTAGCACGACCCATCAGCATCGATGAAGTGGCCAGTGCCTTAGTAAACTAGGAACATGGGGCTGGAAATTTCAAGGTGTCCGGTGTGGCGCGCCCTGAGGACATGAGAATATTATATGTGTGAGCTACTCCGGGCATGTTTGCCGCTTGTACTCTTCGGAAGCTGCTCTTCAACGAACCTGTGTTCATGACGTATTCAGAAGATCTTAGCCGCTGGAGTATCCAAGATGCAGGAAAGCAGCCGAGCATGAACGCTCTAACATTTGGACATTGCAGCTCCTTGTCTGGCCTCAGATTGGTGCTCTCTATTGCCTCGGCGTGCCTCAGTCGATGTCCATTCTCAGAGGACTTCAGGACTGAGTCGCTGCAACCGTCCCAGAGCCCGAGCCGGGGTCAGCCGTCCCGCCTGCCCAGCAGGGAGAGTACGTGAGACATGATGCGACTGTTCGGTTCAGAGCATGGTGCAAAGTTCAAGGCTGGGTTTGGTGCCACAGCCGGTGGGCAATTCTTGCTTGTTGCAGGAGCGGGGTGCCAGCGTCCCGGACCCCACAAGATACATCAAGCAGGCAGATGAGCAGAGTTTTTTCGCTTCCAGCACAATGTGATGCCGTCAAGCGCGCAGGCTGTGCAGCGTGCCAACACCGCCATCTCCGCGGAGGCAGAGGCTCTCGGGTGAGGGGTTGAAGGGTTGGGCCTGGTCTTGCATTACCTAAAGTCACTGCATGTTTCAGGCTAGTCGGGCTTCTTTGTTGAGAAGGCCTCTTGAGCTCTGCACCGTCACAGGATTCCTCATCCGGAGTGAAGGAAGAACATGAAGCTGCCCAGCACTGAGAGAAAGCAACGCGCTCTGCACAAACAATGACTTGCATCAGCTGCTCCAGCAGAGACATCCAGCGCCCAGCACGAAGAGATGCTGTCTTTGCGGTCTGCAGGCTGAAGTAATTCTGGATCCTGAGGATAGTAGCCTCCACGCACCGTGGGCAGAGGAGGAGATTGGGTGCGATGGGAGCGGGCGGGGTATGGCCCGAGAATGTTGTTACTACTTCCGAGGCGCAATACACTTCCATCGACTTGACTAACTTCTATTTCACACTCATGAGAGGCTTATCGGCATAGGCATAGGTCCCAGGGATTCATCTCGACGCACCCGTTGGAGGAGGAGGAGATCTTCGATTGGCCAGACGAGTCAGAGCAGGCTTGATCAGTGGACTGTAAAGCTGCAAAGTTTACTGCAAAGCATATCAAAGCAGGTACAGCTGTACAGTACAATGTTTTTGCTAAATTCTCTGCTGTGTGACGTTTATGTCTATGTCACAGACAGTCAGGATGTTGGTGTGACAGTTGTGCAGTGAGGCAAATTGGTGGGACGACGAGGCCCGTGCTTGTACGGTGGCGGCGGTGGGGTGTTCAGGGTCGCGTAGCGAAGCAGAGTCACGTTGCAGCGGTTTGCTACGGCTTACAGTAGGTGCACTACCCAAACCATTCCCAACCTGTTGACCAGACCCGATTAGGTGCAACGCACTGCTGCACCTAAATACCCAACGCATGTGTTTGGAAAGCTTATTGTAGGTCATGTCATATTGGATCAAGCTTCATCGGCTAGTAGCGGCTTTGCTCCTAAGTCTACGATGCCGTTCAATTGAACCGGTAAGCAAGGAACTCTAACTTCCCTCATTTCATGGTTCGCGGTGACAAATTTAAGTTTGAAGGACAACTGAGGGTCTGGGGTGAGGACCTCACAGCGGATTTCGCTGCAGCAGTTGGCGACGAGAACGACGAGGTGCAATTTATTAGTAGTGCTTACGCTGCGACTTTTCGAAAACTGATGCGATCATAGAGTTCAACGTTCACTGTTTGAGATTGGGGAGAACGGATTTGGCTTCCTGCGGCTGCAGCAGCTGCCTACATCAATGTGAATGAAGGACAATCTCAGCCGCCTCAGCCCTATCCAGTAGCGAGCCGTTGAAAATCGTCCCTTTTTCTAGCGTTGGCCTGGGTTTCGCTCCGTGCAGGCCTGGCTCGACTGGTCAGCCGCCGCTGAGCCTGCGCCAAAGAAGCCGCGCCAGCTGCCAAGATTTCAATGTTCGGTGACCTAGTGACGTGGTGTGACTGGAGCATTGTGGGAGGCACTGACGCATCCGAAGCCGCAGCAGCTGCCGGGCGGCGAGCGGCAGCACGCCTTGCGGAGAAGAGGTGGGAGGGGGACTGTTGGGAGATGGCGGAGGTGCAGCATTTTGGAGTACTGCAGACTTCTGCTACAATGTACGGGGCTCCTTACAGGGCGGGCGGCCGACCCAAATCCCTTTCGTCCAGCATCGTGAGTGCTTCCGCATCGACGAGGTCATGATGAGCATCGTCGTGGGGACGGGGGTGCGGGCATGGCATGGCATGGCCAATTAAGAGGATCAGCCAGGATGCTGAGCCGATCGACGCCGGAGGGACGATTTTGAGAGATCTTGGGTTGGGGCATTGTGTCCACAACTCTGTGGCACCATGGCGCGGAGTATTATGTCCCGTGAAATTTTATTATCATCTGCGTGTAAAAGTTTCCTTGTCCGGGACTTGAAGTCAAGGATGCACACACTCGTATGTCCAAACTTGACTCCAGATGTTTGTACAGTAGGTTGCAGATATCTAGTCTTGAAGTCTATTGTTGGCTCTAGCAAAGACGTACGCTGAACCGGAGGAGCCTTCAAGATGGAGGAAGATGATGGATGTCACAACCGATACTAGCCTCCAGCGTGGTTGGTGCTTCTATGACTATGAGACGTGAATCGCTGGTTGTCGCGATATCTCCGTGTGGTCCCGAAAATTTCCCACCTGTGCCGAAACAGTTCTTGAAACACTGTGCCCTAGATTCCCTGGATACGGTCTCGGATAAGAGACGAGGGAGAAGAGGGGAGGCGGCACTGGAGGTGGCAAAAGGGAAGGGGAAGGTGGCGCCAAATCCGAATCCGGAAATTGAAGAAACTCGCGGTTGTTCTTGCTCTGGTTCTGGTAGTTCTTGCTTGTACCCAAGAATCGCAAATGAATGCAGCTTTCAAGTTAGAGTTCGGAAAGTAAGGATTTCAGGCATTGTCATGCATTGTCCATGGGTCGTGTAGAAAAACAACAGCAGTGGTACTTGAAAAACGGAGCCCTTCACGCGGCGCTCACCCTGCAAGCGGGAGTCAGCTGACTGCCGCGGACCGCCGTTCTTCCTGGATTCCTGCAATCAGCCGCAATCGAGTCGAGCATTTCTGAAAGTCGGGAGTCGGGATGCATGGCCGCCAACCACACAAGAGTCTGCCGAAGTTTCGCAGCGGATGACATGAAGAGCCCAGGGTCACGGCAAGAGCTGTCTTTCAGAGGTAGTTGGAAGCTCTCCATAGAAGCTATTTCTGCGAAGGGTTCTTTGGAGGTTGGTTCGTGTGCTTGGGGCCTTGGGGCCCACTATAGATCAAAAGAGTTTGTAACAGGAATCACTCTCCTGTGCATTCCTCGCAGGGATGGGCCTCGCAGGGCCGAGCACCAAGCCTGACCGGGACGGGACGGGCGCACACACAGACACACAGAGAGCCAGGACCGAGCGGAAACGAGTTTTGAGTCCTAGTTAGATCTTTTGGGGCAAATTTGGGGCTGCGATTGCAGTACTGCACGGCCGGCTTTGCTGAGGTTGTCGGCTCCGTGACCGGTTACACACAGCTAGTGCAGCAACCTCATCTGTGCCGAGTTTCGACGGCAGCTTTAGTTCTGGGGCTGTCCTTTGGCGGTGCATATTCTCGCTGTGGCCTGTGCAATCGCATCATGTTGCTCTTACGGAAACTGCATGCACATGTGCAGGGCTCCATGTAGCTCACCTGCTTAACTTAGGCCATCCCGTGCGACTGTGAAGCGCAGCTACGAAGGTTGGCGGTCCGCGTTCTCTCGTCGCATCGATGACACAAGCACGCCAGGTCTGGTCAAGCAGGAGATCCTAGAGAAGCAGGAGCCCGAAGAGGAAGATGCGGTCCTGTCGCGAGACCAGGCGACAGCACCTCCGGCGCAAAAAGCAGCCTATGTTGAAATATCCGGAAGACTCAGATCCCACTTGAGCCCGCAAGCGTGCGATCTGACCAGCTCGCCGGTGTGGCGGCAGCGAGCAAAGCCACCTTGCTGCCCATGTCGCCCCAGGAGAGGGCGGGGATTTTCCCGCAGGGTTCCAATGCTTCACTGATGTCACATCAAACAGGGGATCGAATGTCTCGCAGTAGACGAATTCGATACATTCTGCAGGCCTCTTCCGACATTCAGCCGGAGTGGGTCGACTAACCGAGTTCAACCTGAAGAGCCATTTCTGCAGTTTCAAAGTATGTTTCATTCCTAGTGAAGCTAGTACACTGATGATGGTCAAGGTGCAGATGCTAGTGCGGCAACAGTTTATGACGAGAGGAATGGCCAGAACATTGCAAGAACACGAAGCATGAATGACACAGTCCTAGAGCCTGAAGGAGAAGATGATGCAGGCTGCCTGGCCTTCTTCCTTTATGCAGTTCCTTAAGTCACACGGTGCATGACAGCTTTGTGCGAGCAAGTCTGCACATGCAGTTTGGTCTGGCAGGTTCGCAACTATGTTTGCAACCCAGTTCACATGTGCCTCTCCTGTTCGGCTATAGGACTTGATGTCTTGGTCAAGAGAAACGGCATCCCTACTCGCCGTCAGCCATGCTGAAGCCACACGCTCAAAGTCCGTCGTCCCATGCCAAATTGTAATGAGGCATCGAAGCATGCCCTGTACTTAGACGAGCAGTGCTCCGACCTTACGGCACAGTTACTGTACTGTCAGTCCGATGCCAGCTGATAGTAGCGAGTCGCCTTGTCCAGCCGAGGCATTAAGGCGCTTTCGCGCTTGCCGTTCTACCGAGCCAAAGATCTCATCGAGGAGGTACTGCTGGGAGGCAGCTGCGTGAGCCGCATGTGAAAAACATCGCCGCTGGTCGCCAGATGTCGCCAGGACGGCAACGGCAAGGCGTCTCAAACCCTTCCCGGTACCTGATGGCTGCCGTCAAGAAGATGTCCGTGGGGCTCGGTTCGCACCTCAGCCTCGAGGCGCCATTCGCTGCGATTCGCTGCGTCTGCTCAGGCGTGGAGCAGGCCTGGGCCTGGCGATGCCATGCTTCTGAGAGCTAGGGTGCATGAGCGGCAGCTGTCGCAGAAGCGACGGTGTGTCGATGCCAGGGCATCGCCATGGAGATGGCTGTGTCTCTTGGTGTCGTTGCTGTCTCAGAGGTGGCACGCAGATCGCCTCAACGAAGACTCGCTTCACACTGACACTGGCATCTAACCATTACTTGGCATTCGCTCGGCTGCTGCTACTTTTCGCAGCGCTTCACGTTCGGAGAGATTTCACGTGTACTCAGAAGCATTGTAGGGAAGTGGACCGAACTCACCAAGCAAAAGCCTAGGGCCTAGACTAAAGCCTGAATGTGCGTAAGTCTTGGACTCATGTTTTGACAAGGTTCTGAACAACGATGCCTTGGATGAGTTGGCCTCCATCCCCAGACAGGCGCGAGTCTGCATGCTTTGGGGCTGCATTGCTGTCTAAGACCTGTTTGCAAACTGAGTCGTAGCTACCGGTCATCCATGAGCACTGCGGTCAACAACGGAATAGCCGTTTGGTGTCGTCAAGATGCAGCTTCGGAATGATTGGAGGAGTCACATGCCATCATCCGTGAGTTGGCCCAAAACGAGGAGCACCGCCGCGGCCAAAGCGAAAACTTGCCGGAAGTATCCATCACGTGCAGGTTGTGGATTCCGAGCGATGGAAACGATTCCTTTCTTGTCTCATCATGTTCACTGACATTTTGTTCAGTATGTCTTGTTCAGGGTTTAGCTTGTGCCTTCGTCTCCGTGAGCAGCTGGCCAGCTTCCAGGTGCTGACCCCATGGCCTACATTCAAGCAGAAGTGCTCAAGTGTGGCGAGCCTGGCTGCTGCAAGCTGCGTTATCCTCTGCTGTTGACCCTGCCGGCCATTTTTGCAGCTTTCTTATGTTCGCATGGCCTCACTTGATCGACAACATGCAAATAATTACTTCATCTTGGTCGAACTAGACTGAGGCCGCGAGCACTTGGACGTCCGACAACTTGAAGAAGAAGGCGAGATGTAAAAGCTTCTAGAAATATCCGGTTCTCATTGATCTAAATGATTGAAATTGAGAGCAGCAGCCATTAGTTAATTCAGGTGATGAACAGGGCGACTTGACAAAGACACGAATTTGAATGATAGCAATTTGAATCGTGAATAAGCTGCTTTGAATTATTAGGATTATTCCCGGAACAAGATTCTAACTCTGTCGTTATTCTAAATTCATTTTATCATTTAATACAGATCATTTATTCAAAGACTATGAAATTAATTCAAAATTTTTTTTGGAAAATAATTCACAAGAGAATAATAAAAAACAAAGATATTGGATGATGAAATTTATAACAGAAATGAAAAAGTGATATTATTTTTTTTATTTTCGAGAAGGTTGATGTCTGGCAATTCTAAGATATTTCGCGATATGAAGGAATCGCAATTTTGATAATTCGAGGGAGATATGTTCTCGAAAATTTAATTTTTAGAAGGTATATTTACGATTAGAAAACTTCCGAAATTTTTGGGAGGTATTTACGATAATAGAACTGTCGAAATTATAGTAGATTTTGAAAAATGATTGTAGGATTGATATTTCGAATAACACGTTAGAGATTTATAAGAATATTAGGATTTGAATTCCGAAATTTTAATATTACGAGATAGATATATAAGATATTTTATTATGACGCATTTGGATTTTAATAATGTTCTTTCTCGAATATGTCTTATATATTAAGTTTTGATTATAATATATTTAAATTTTCTTAACTTGAGAAATATATTGGGTTTCCCGATAATCTTCTTATTTAAATAAATTCTATTTTTATCGGAACATAAACAAATTTTTTGATTAGAAACTCATATTATATTATATCGAAATTTTCTAACTTCTATTTTATCATTCCAATTAAGATTATCTTATTATTTTCAAATAGTAATATTTTCATTTTCATCAAATTTCATCCAATTCTTTTGTTCTTATTATAATACGTCTTTTATCTTATTATCTTTATCCATCCGTTCCCATATATTCTTTGCAATACATCTCGATTTCTGTAGCTCTAACAATCTCCGCTGCCTGATGGAATAGACGACCCATTCCTATAATTTATTATATATATAATTGGTTATAATATCTTTATTCATATATATCGCTCTGTCACTTTATTCGTTCAGAAAATTTCCTTCCAGATTGGTGGATCGCCATGGACTTGTTAATCTTATCGGATTATTATCTCCTCTATGGAGGAGATATAGGCTCTAGAAATCTTATCATTCATCGGAAAAGTATTATTATTTATGGATATTTTAACGATATCAATACAGAATATCATAATTGAATAGTCTGTCTATCTGTCTGATTATTTATTTATCTAGATGTCCGTCTGTCTGTGTGCCTGTCTGTGTGTGTATGTCTGTCTATATCTATCTGTCTATTTATATATTTGTCTGTATCTGTTTGTTTCTGTCCTTCTATTTGTTGGATCTGTGCGCGTCCGTCTATTTCTATCTATTTATATATATCTATTTTTCTACATCTGTCGATCTGTCTGGCTCTATCCATCTATCTATCTCTTTCAATCTCTCTATTATCATTATCTATCTCATTATCTATATTTATGTGCCTCTATCTAGACGTGAATTTCTATTTATCTTCTAAAAATCCATCAAGATATAATGATTTGTAATTTCTCTTCTCTATTATTGGAAATAAAAATTCCATTCCAATATTTATAAGACCTATATTTTATATGATATTGTAGATATTGGAAAATATAATATAATATATAATATAATTAT